TGATGATGCATCTGCATATGGGCTCTGTACTTCTGTGTTACTCCGACGATCGCAGATGATAGACTGTAGTCGCATGTATGTTTTCTAGTTTTCTCCTATCCATCAAGAATCTTATGATCTAGCCAGATGGTAAAACTGTTGCTGCGAATTGTTTGCCTATTAATCACTCTCTCTGTCTAAAAAAATTATAATTCTAGATTTGGACTAAGCTATAGTTTTTTATACATTTAGTTAGTTAAACTTAAAATTGTCTGATTACTAAAAAACCGAGATTTATATTCTATTTTTTTGGAGTTTGGGACGGAGGGACTAATATGTCGTTCTTCTAACTAGATATCATTTGCAAATTGCCAATTTCCTTTTTTTCTTCTTCTCTTGGTTTTGCAAAACAGAACTCCACCGTCGACGCCCTGACATCCGATTGTCTATGCTTGCTCAACAATTAAAATTAATAGCACTGCCTGCAGTCCTGCACTGCATCTCCATGTAGGTGCAAAAGAATCATACACACACTTCGTCCCATCCTAGATACGAATTATTTAATATTTTTTCACTCGAATAAAGGTTGAGCATGAAATGATTCACCATGTCTACCCTTCAATTTGATGACTTTTATAGGTAATTAATGGAAGTAGTAGATATGCAACTCATGAGCCAATAATAAGAACCTAGTGGCTAGTGCAAGCTAAAATGAGAAAAGAAAATTGAATTATCTGAAAAACATACAACAGTTTAATTTCCTATTGGCTAAGGCAATCTAATATTTTTTAACTACTACTCCCTCCATTTCAAATTGTAAGTCGTTTTAGCTTTTCTAGGTTCATAGTCTTTACTACACATCTAGATATACATTATGTCTAAATACATAATAAAAACTATGTAAGAATCAAGAACGACTAGACTTATAATTTGGAAAGGAGAGAGTATAACCAAAGCGGTTTAAACCTAGCCCGGCCCGTCAAGGAAACATGCTAAAGTTCTAGATCAGCTTGGCTCGTTTAGCTATATTGCAAGCCAATTCGTTAACTACTATAACCAAAAGCATATATAAATCAACAGTTACCAACTCGCAAACATCAAGCCAAGAAAATAAGTATAATGTGTACTATACATTAGTTCTATACTTCAATCACATGCATACATCATAACATAAGTCTAATTGTCTCTTGTTTATAATGTTGGACCATGAAGTGCTTGGTTTGTTTAGATCGCAAACTGGCTCATTAACCTAACGAGTTAATATGCTAGCTCAGCCTGTTAAAAAAAAAAAAAAAGTTGTAACAGGTCACTAGTTTTTTCAGCTCTTTAGGAAGGGTGCTTAAAGTTCCCGTATATTTTGACGGTTACAAATATAAGTCCATATAAATATCTATGTGGACAACATAAGATTGGTCGATAATCTTTTAATAATTGACAAAATTTTCTATAAGACAATATATTCGTTACAAATAATATTATTCAAGTGTCACTTTGTGTAGTATGGTATGAAAGACCAAAATGACTCATATTTTAAATGCAATAGTATCAAGAAGGGGTGTATCTCCATGTTTTTAGTGCATATGCTTGAGTTGGTAGGACCTATCTATTTTGGTTTGAGTATCTGACTACTAATATTTTGTGCTAACTATCTTTCTATTGGTAGATCCCTCCGACGATGACAAGCCATCGATGGTGACTTTGTCAAATTCAAGATCTGTCTCCTTAAAGTCTCAGATTTGATAATGTGTTCTTAGAAGTCAGTTTGTGTGCTTGTTTGTGATAATCTTCATCTGTACCATGTTTCAAAAAAAGTTATATCTGTTTTATTTCTTCGTATTGGTGGTACTTTTAATCATATTTAAGCGTGTCGAGTTTCAGCAATGCTAAGAGCAAGGCTAATTGTGACTTATGAACAAACTATAAGTATATTATTTTATATTTCCATAGAAGAGAGAGAGAGAAACTAGTCTTATACATAGACTCTAAGATCATGCGAGATTATCACGGGACTATTCATATTATGAGCTAAGTACGTGTTAACAGTTAATACAATTGGAGAAGTTTTCTTAGATCTTTTGTAGTTGAAGATGCCCTACTAAGCTCGGCGGCCGGCGGGAGGAAAAAAAATAGGGTGCAGCCTCCCTGCACCGACGCTTCTGCAAGGCCCACTCGAATGGAAGCCACGTGTCCTAAAAAATCCATCATACGGCCACGAGTAGGAGTCTTTAGTTGCTTATTTTTAGAGTATCCTGACGAGTCACACCACGTTTGAGCTATCGGAGGAACCGCACAACGCGTGGCTGTAGGATGAATTTTCTGAGACACGTGGCTACATGAAGGCACGGGTGCAGTGCAGGAGACTGCACCCATTTTTTTTTCCCTTCCGGAGGGGCTTGGTAGCAGTGTATGCACGGTGCCCGAGTGAACGCCCTAGGTGATCCCTGCAGGCCGCATCCGCGTGCAGTGCTCGGACTGTACGAGAATAAAGGCTTCGTCTGATTGATGAGGACGGCGACGTCCATCCACCCGTGTGCGTGTGGCCGCAGACGTGAAGTTTGAGGGCGTTAAAATATGCATAGGCAAAGACACATACACTGGCTAGGCATTCTATCAGATACTGCATGTCTCTCTGCGTGTCTCGGTCGACGAGACCACCTTCATCTAGCTGCAGTGCCCAGAGAGACAGCCAGCTCCGTGGTGTGTGCAGTTTCCTTGGCAGCGCACGGCCGGTTGCCCAGCCGTGCCGCTGGCTTTGTGGCAGGGCCGCAGGGGGCTGGCCGTCCGGGGCTGGCCGGAGTGGCCGGTGTGGATGGTCGTGAGAGGACTGAGGTTGGGTTGGGTGAGACGACAAAATTAAGCCGGGGATACCTCTTGGTTATTCAACTAGTAGAGGCCTGTTGAATCAGTATCAGGTTATGCAAATGCCAGGATGGTCGTGTCCCTGATTTTGGGAACAAGATTGTCTCATTTATGTGTTTGGTTGAAAGTATATTAATTCCAATTTTTCATTGGGGGCTGCTATTTCTCAGGTGCCTGAAATTTAAGTTTTTTTTCAGACAGTGAACAGTATCAATTAGATCTTAATCTAACCATCTAGGAAACCAGCACTATACATGTTCTTTCTCTTCCTCTCTTGATCTCTCTTGGCCCTTGATTTCAGGCATCTGGACTATAGGAAACGTGTTTTTTATTTGGTTGAAAGAATTTAAGGGACAGGATAATCTCATTTTTTAATACCGCCAACTACTATCAAAGGTGTATCCTACCTGTAAGCTATGGCCCAACAATCATAGTCCTATTCTTCTCTCTTTTTTTCCGCGTCCTTATCTTCTCCGTGGGCAGGCGAACCATTAGAGGATCCCAAACAAATATTGGCCATCCGTCATGTTCGCTTGAACTTATCAACCATGGTGCTGTGTTTTTCTCTCACAACAAAACAACATCAACGGCTTATCAGCCGTAAAAACCATCAGCCAAACAGCTCGATCTTCTTCGTTGCCTCCACCACCACCCGTCTTAGTGCCTCTTTGTGTCCTGGCATGGAGTGCATCATCGTTACTGAGTGTCAAGGCCCCCATGCTGCTTCCAAGCTTTCGGCCTCCATCTTCAGGCAACAACCCATTCATTGAAAAAAATACTCGCCAATGAGATCTTCTTCAACATCTTTTCGTCACCGGCAATGACAATTCATTCATACATGCTGGTACAGCCCAAATCAAACCCTATAAGCATAACCAAACAAACCCTTCCATCCTGATGTCATCAACTTCAGTCGACGATGAATGGCAATCGACGTGGCGCCTTCGACGGTTTGCACTTGATACGCGTGCCCGAGCTTCCACTCCCTTGTAGGTTGGATACAAATGGGTTAGCCCGCAAACACGTATATAGATTTAATTTTGTGTGTTGTTCGTGGTATTGATATTCTGTGCTCTCTATGGTTTTAATATACATATATTCTAAGTATTTCAGAAAAAAAAAGTTGCTGCGTTCCTCCTTTTCTGCGTCCATTACCCTATATATAGCAACAAACTGGGTGTGTGGCTGTGATCGATCAGTCCGTCCTGTACCTCTAGGCACCACATCGTTCTCTCTCTCTCTCTCTCTCTGTGTTTTAATAGACACATCGTTCTCTCTTTTTTACGAAAAAAAAAAAAAAAACACATCGTTCTCTCTTGCATTGGCACTAGTGTAGATGTTGCCGTCAGTACTTCACCAAGGAACTGGTTACGCTGCACCAGACCATTCTCACACTTCCCAGCCTCAAGCAAGAAAAAACGTGAAAGAACTGTCTAAGGTAAAAACCCGATGCATTTTCCCAGATAAGGATCGGAGTAGAAAGATACAGTAAAGTTCGAGCTAAGTGCTCTATCATAAATGGTTCCTTGGATCGCTAGCAATTTCTGACCTTCCATGGTGCCAACGGCCAAGTTTCAGTATGAATCATTTGATTAACGCAACGCAACCTAACAAGGCCACCCATTTCCAATAAAAAAGGCTGAAGAAGAATAGTTTGATGCTTCCAGAAATTACAGAGTGACCCGCAAATCCCACGCATTTGCAGCTGCATCTCGACTCTGGCGAGCTAAGTGCAACTGGTCGACAAGACCCGTAACTTGCATAGAACCTTTATCGCTTTTTATCCTTTTGTGTCCCACTCGAGCAGTCATTAGCACGTTTCATGGTCCAGCAGCGTTCGTCAAACCTTTACAACGAGACGAATTTATAGCGAACGGTCGCTGCAAATCGGGTGCGAACGGTCGCTGCAAAAACTTTAGGAACGCCTCGGTCGCGGACGCTGCCCAGGCCGCTCATTTGAAGCGCGCGCTGGGGGCCAGAGGCCGCCCAGCCCACGGAAGCCACGAGAGACGGCGAGATGCCGACGCGACACGCGCCCTCCCTTTTTGTTTACGTAGTACTCCGTTCAAGAAGAATCAAGAGCGGCGAGGGAAGAAAAAAACTGAAGGCGGTACTGTAAACAAGTTCCAGAATCCGAGAGCTAGCGATAGCGAGAGCCGCGCATGGCAGCGCAGGAGGCGCTTCGGTGGCGCTACGGCGACGTGGACGACGGCAACTTCACCGTGCGCGGCCGCGGCGTGCCGGTCCTCGTGGCGCTCTTGGGCGTCCTCGTCTGCTTCGTCGCCGTCTGCCTCTACCTCCGATGGACGTGCCACCGCTACAACGGCCGCCTCATCGCGGCGACGGCGCCGCTGGCCGCCGCCACCGCCTGTTTCCCAGTGGCGGGCCTCGACGATGCCGCGATCGCGGGCCTGGCCGTGACGCTGTACCGGTCTGGCGCCGGCGCCGGTGCGGGTGCGGCGGACGACGACGCGGCACAGCAGCAGTGCTGCTCCATCTGCCTCGGCGAGTTCCAGGAGGGCGACAAGGTGAAGGCGCTGCCGCGGTGCGGGCACGGCTTCCACCCGGAATGCGTGGACGCGTGGCTGCGGGCGCGGGCAAGCTGTCCTCTGTGCCGGGACACGCTTCTCGCCGCCGCGGTAGCCACCAAATCAGACAACGCCGTCGGAAACGAAGCTGTCTGATCATCCAACGCGGCGCCCGTGCCGACACCCGCCATTGGACTCGGAGTTGGAGTCTTGGAGAGGCGTTCGGGCACAGCCGGGGACGTGTTGTTTCTTTCAATTTGCACATCACTGTAAAATCTTTGCGATGTGGCATTGTGGCGGTTTCTTCGCCCACTCCAGTAGCAGAAACAAAGGAGCCTGTCTTTCGATGGCGATTTGGCGATGATGTTCTTTCGTTACAGGAAAGCGCTGCCATTGCCGGGGCTTTCGCTTTCAGATGCAGAGGAGGCGAACACGGTGGTTCGATGCAGTTCACGCTGTGTGGGTGGGCGTCGTCGTACGATCGATACGCGCCACATCTGCAGGGGGGGCACGGGTCACACTCGCACCTGGCAGCTGGGCTCGGTCTCTGCCCCGATCCGAGATTGCCTGTGAGAGTTCTAGACCTCTCGGCTAGTCGGTTTGTCCAGCTGGCCTTCGGATTGAACTCACCCACGTGAAGAGAGTTTGGAGGCCAGCTAAAAAAACAAAGGGCCTGCTCGGCAGAGCTTACCGCAGGAGAAGCTGATGCTGCAGCAAGCAACCACTGCAGTTCTATAGAGAAAATAAGCAGAAGTGGCTACAGCCGAGCAAGTCCAAAGACTGCTTTCGGCCTTTTTGGAAGGTAACCGTCGGCCTGCACAGCTGCACTGGCCCAGCTAAAGTTTGAATTGCTGTGATTTTATGCTTTGGTTGGACTTGAACTGATCAAAATGGCCGGAAAATAAATCCAATGTGGGCTCAAGTATTGAAATACTTGCACGGCCTATATTATACTCGCTCCGTTTTTTTAAAAAAAAAGTGCAACTCAAGATTAAACCAAGTCAAAATTTTAAAATTCAACTAGATTTATAGAGAATAGCATCAACATTTATATCTTCAAATAGATTTACTACTCAACGATTAAACTAATAATACTTATTTAATATAATAAATAGTAGTAATCTTTAGTATAAATTTAGTCAAATTTAAAATTATTTGGCTCTCATAGAAACGAGAATTGTTTATATATATGTTTTTTTTAACAGGGTAGTATGTGGCAATAAACGGTGACAAAACAGACCACGGGCACGCTGTTAGTTTGGAAATTTGCGGGTAAAAATTTCTCCAAGCACTCGTACGCTACCTACAACTACAAGGCTACAAACCAAAGGCAAAAGAGGTTACAAACCAAAGGCAAAAGAGGTTGAGTTCAGGTTCCTGGATCAGGGACTCCAGAGTCTAGACTCGGAAATTTCCGGCCATGGAAAGCTAGTTCCAGGGTTGAACAGGAGCAGAACAAGAAAACAGATCCTGCCTCTGCTGCAACTTTGGCCGGTTTTAATGTGGGCAACCGCAAAAAGAAGGATACCAATTCACAAATCTCTGGCCCCTCTCGATAAAGCTGCCGTCGAAAACTCGAAATACAGAGGCAGTGCACGCCGCAAGCGCAAGGCGAATTTACAGCAAAAACGGAACAACGCATCGCCGCATCCACACAATTCAGATTCAGAAACCGCAATCGCCAACAGGTAACAGCAGCTAGCTATAGTTCGGAGCACGGACAACGGCGCCGAAGAAACGCCCGAAAATATGCATCGCACCATGAAGATGAAGGAAGCTCGTATGCAGCTAGGATTCGGGAGGCTTTTGAAGCAAATCAGGGGTTTTAATAGAGCGGCGGCGGCGGCGCGGGGAAGCCGCGGGGCGCGTACCCTAGGTTAACTGAGTCCTTGACCCCAGTGCAGGCCGGGCTTAGCCACTGAGCCGGACGGGTGTGCATCAGTTTCAGGCCCATAACATTCTGAGTGTACATGGGCTAGATAGTTAACAGGCCACGATGTTTATGACAGGAGTCATTGTCTTTCCTTATTTTAACTTTGTACATGCTGCTGCGAAACTTTGTATAGACCTTTTAATCTTGAGGTTAATAAGAAGTGTTTATGGAGATCATCTTCATCAGATATTCTATCTAATCTTCTTATATATAAAAATTTGTATTATAAGAGATGAAATTTATATATAAAATTTTTCGCAAGCCAAGGGGGAAGGGGAGTGCACAGGCTGCATATCGAGACCGATAGCCAAGAACTGATCAAGCTCTAGAAGCAGGGGTGAACCAGAGGCCGTGGATCGCGCCGATCAGTAGGGAAGCTCGTGATTTTAGCTTGTATTTTTCTGCTTTAAAATTGTCGTATTCTAGCAGATCATGTAACAGAGTAGCTCATACTCTAGCTAAGCAGGTCTCAGGGGACACTAGGACGTGAGTGGCACTATGCCCCGTCCTGTGTCGCTCAGTTGGTGACTGCGGATTGTAACCCTGATGATTCTTGAATGAACAAAATCACTGAGTCTCAAAAAAAAAGATCTCCTTAATCCTGTCTCATATTTGAGGAGATCTTTTAAGTAATATAATTTTTTAAGAGATCTCCTGAAAAGGTGCACTCTTTCTCCTAGGTAAAGGAGACAACCTCCTCTCCCTTGGCCCTAAAGAAATATAGGAGATAAGTTTTAAGTAATCTGCTATAGTAATGTTCTCTTGTATATTCTAAATTAATTTTAAAGTACTCTCATGAAATAATTTATGAGATACGGTACAGGAGATATAGTAAAAATGCTCTAATATGCTTCTGTATTCTAAATTATAAATCATTCTGATTTTTAGATATATATAGTTTAAAAAGTAAAGGGTCCACTCATAGGAAAACCTAACCTTTCCCTGCATTAGGCACTAATCTATTTTTAACGTCTAATTAGATCGGGGAATCCTTCCAATTAACCAATTAAGAAGTTAAGCTCGTTGCTTTTTTTTTATTTTACCAGAATTAGAGCCAGGCTCTATCCATTTATTCACTAGACCCAGAAAATCAGAATTCCCCTTTTTAGTTCCCCTTTTTTGTAATTTTATTATTTTCAATTCCATTCATTTTTTATAGAATACTTTTTTATTCTATATCCATAAAAAAATAGTATTCTATAAAAAATCTTTATTTTGTATTTAGATATATTATATATTTCAATATATAGATAAAAATATATTTTTAAAAAGATTGAAATAATTTATAATTTGAAATGGAAAGAGTACTCACATGCTGATGCCCTGAGAGGCTGAGACGTTGATGGATGCTGAACGGCTGAGGCACCGGTACGACTTTAAGACTATCGCCAACAGAGCCGATCCAAACATGAGCGTTTTGGTCACGCACAGCGAAGAAAAAACGCAACCCAAACCGACGAACTCCAACAGCGAACCCAAACCGGCGAACTCCAACAGCGCCGCCCGCCTCTCACCCCGCTGAGCGCCGCCCGCCTCCACTCTGGCCTCCTCCTCGCTCGTCTCCATGCCAGATCTGGCCGAGGAAGGAGGGATCCGGCCGCACGCCGTCGCATATGCCTCGATGTGCCTCGATCCGCCTCGATCTGCCTCGATCTGCCTCGTACCGCCTCGATCCGCCCGGAGCTCGCGAAGCACGCCGCCGAGGCGCACGGCGCCTGCTGCAGGGCCCCCGCCACCGGAGCGCGCGAACCCCGTTGTTAGAGGAAGACACGCGCGAGGTGGCCGTGGCCGAGCTCGCGGATGAGGTGGAGGTGCGCGAGGCGGAGCACGCCGTCGGCCGTGGAGGCGCTTGGCCATGGGGCGAGGTGCGCCAGTCTTGGGGACGCGGAGGAGTGCGGGCGGGGAAAAGCGACGTGGAGGATAAGGACAGCAGCGACAGCGAACTCCGCGTGAAGGTGGTGGCGGTGGTGAAGGACGAGGTGGAAGCGGAGGCGGTGGAGATGAAGGACAGGTCCAGCGGGCCGGCGCCGGCGTTCGCGAGCGTGGGAGGGAAGTGCGGGGAGAGGGCGGCGTCGGATGGGAGCGGGGAGAAGGCGACGCAGTTTTGGGTTGTCTCTTACCGTGGACGCAAAATATGTAATTTGTTTGCGTAATTCGTTGGAGGATGTTTTTTCCCTATATATGACGTATTTTAATTGATTGGAGTTAGATGTCTAAGGGCAGCCCTATAGCTAACATTTTAGTAGTCTCATGTATGAGTCATGTAGATGCAGGCTGAGCATCAAATGCCACAACGCAAGCAGCATTAGAGAGACGGTCTTAGGGCAGCAGCAATGCAAGCTAACACTAGCCAGTAGTCTCATGTAAAAGAAAGATCCACGTAGACGAAGCAGCGGCTGAGCATCAAATGCCACAACGCAAGCAGCATATCCATTAATTGGCTGGGGACCAACGCAGTGCTGCTCTACCGTACTGCACTTTTACTTTTTGCTGCGTGCGAACGAGGTCTCTCGTTTAGTTGCTCTCTCAAAACTTTACATCTTTTTCCATAAAATGTTTAGGTATATATATATATATATATAGTATTAAATATAAACTAAAAAAATAATTAATTACATAGATTACGACTACTTCGCTAGATGAATCTTTTAAGCCTAATTAGTTCATGGTTTGATAATGTGGTGCTACAGTAATACATGTGCTACTGATGGATTAATTGGACTTAATAAATTCGTCTCGTAGTTTATTAATAGATTCTATAATTTATTTTTTTATTAGTATCCGCTCATCCGATTCCCCGGTATAACATCAATATGACAGGCCTGAGTTATTTTTGCAGCCACAAGCGCACAACGCGAGCTCGGACGGTGGCTCTAGCCTTTTGTCAGATGAAGCAGTCGCATTCTCTGCAAGAGCTTCTGTCTTGCTGCGAAGCTAACAATCAAGGTGACGTGGAGGCTGCATGCAAACGTGGAGGCCGGGGCATACATCCACGGTGGAGCGTTGGGCACGGCCAGGAGCATGCTCAGTACTCTCACCCTGTTCCTCTGATCGTGGTTAGCCGCTGCTCCTGAAAGTACAGGCCGTGACATCCGACGGCAAAAGTCACTATACTGCTCGTGTCCTGACGTTCATTCGTTGTATAGCTAATGGTAGTACTACATTTGTCCGGAAAATAGTACTCCCTTCGTACAAGTGTATATTTCGCATTGCGAGTCAATTA